CAGAAACAATGCCAGGAAGGATATCAGCTAGCCGAGCAGCCATGATTTTAGTAATTATTTTGTAAACAAATTGGCACAGGCTAATCGGCCGCAATTGACGCATGTTCTCTACATTGTCCACCTTCGGTATCAATGTTAGCCAAGTATGATTGAAACTGCGAAGCATCCTACTTGTAGAAAAGAAAGAACACACCGCTTCAATTACTGAATTGCCAACAATATCCCAGAAGGATTTGAAGAATTTCCCTGTAAAGCCATCAGAGCCAGGAGCCTGTTTGGACCCCATGGCAAACACTGTTTTCCGAACCTCTTGTGGCAGGACCTCCGCCGTTAGCATCTCATTCATCTCTTGGGTGACATTTTGAGCAATGGGAAGACCTGCTACTCGCTCTGCCATGTTCATCACTTGGTTTTCCGAAGTGAACAGCTTTTGATAGAAATGGCACGCCATATCTACCTTCCCTTTCTCGTCAGTAATCCAATCCCCATTATCATTATATAGACCGGCAACATAATTTCTTTTCCGCCTCGTTCTAGTGACTGTATGGAAATAAGAGGTGTTTTTATCACCTTTTTTGAGCCAGTGAACCCTCGATTTCTGTTGCCAGTACACCTCTTCAGCTTCCCATTGGCGAGTCAGTTCCATTTCCAGGTCTCTGACCTCATCCCAGTTGATAGGATAACTGGATTTAATATGTTCAATCTCTATTTGAAGAGTTTTGATATTCCGAAGCGAATTGGTAGTCCCAGCCCTACTCCAATCATAGAGAAGATGTCTCAGATTCTTAAGTTTTTCCCAGAGCTGGTACATCGGAGTCCCAGAAATTTGCTCCTGCCAAACATAATTGACCATTGCTCTGACTTCCGGGTTATCCGCCCACCGGGCATCAAACCTAAATAGAGGACGACTCTATCGGACAAACGGCTTATCAGCCAGGAGCAGTGCCTGGTGGTCTGAGCCCAGGTCTGTGCAGTGTTTAACAAGGGTATCAGGGAATCGATCTATCCATGACTGGGAGCAGAGAGCCCTATCCAGGCATTCACGAATGCAAGCATTGCCCAGGCGTTTATTTGTCCAAGTGAACGTGTCCCCTTGGTACCCGGGGTCATGAAGCCCCAGATCACTGATAAAGTCACGGAGACTAGTAGATTGGGCGCTGTTCCATCCATTTCCTCCATCCTTTTCATGAGCGTGTAAGGTGGTATTGAAGTCGCCAATAACCACAAAAGGGGGATGGATAGTAGCACAGACATCACGAAGATGAGCCAGTTGGATAGCTCTGAGAGCAGCGTTACAACTCATATAAACACAAAAAACAACATATGAAAATGCCATTTCATTAACTTCAATCCCAATACAAAAATCCGACTGAAAAAACACCGAAGCATCAACTTCGGGGGACCAAGCAACCACGAGACCACCTGATGCATCAACAGCATCAACAAAAAAATAATGCGAAGACTCAAAACCTAAACCACGAAGACGACGCGAGACTAATTTCCGACGAGCTCTTGTTTCAGAAAAGAAGACAAGGTCCGGTTTATTCAACTGAATTAAACTGAGAGTAGAACGGAATGTGAGGGTTGGTCCAATTCCTCTCACATTCCAGGCTAAAAGCCTCATCTATCCTGCTGGGACCACTCAAGGCTGGTTTCCTCCACCGTATCAGCATCAACTTTATCTTCCACAAATTGGCGTTTCGGCGTAGGGAGTTCGCAGTCCTCCCCATCCATCTTCTGAAAATCCCTTTTCTTCTCATTGTTTTGTATGGCCTCATAATTAGAGCCATACTCATTCAAGACACCAAAGTCCCCAGCCATTTTCGAGGCACTTTCCCCCACGAGGTCGCCCTTCGGCATGATTGGCGCATCATTCCTCAGCTTGGGTGAAAGGGTTGTACCAAAGGTGAGACCAGCCTCGAACGCCTGAACAACTTGTTGCACATGGCCCGCTGTCGACGTCTGTTTCCTACTTTTCACTTCGAAGCGGTTCACCTCTCCCTCTGGGCTGGACTCAATTGAGGCAGTCTCTAAATCCCCACCCGGAACAAGGTCAGGACCAGACGGGGAGGACACCAAAGCCGAAGCTTCCATCACTGGGACTTCCACCCATGGTCCGCCAGCACTAGTCGCCTTCTTCAATAGGCTCCGAGGTGTATTGTGGGCCTTGCTTCCTTTCAGATGTCCTTTTTGCTTTTTATCTCCGGCCTTTTTAGTGCCCGGCCGAAGATGGGCCGCTTTCACAAGCCTCCGCAGGCCCACCTTCTTCGCCTCCTGCGCATTGGGGGGAACAGTCTCGTTCCTTTCTGCAGAGCAGGTTGGAGCAGCACGTGGCCCCGTCCCCTTCAAAGAGGAGAACAATGGCGCCAAATCATCTTCCGATTCCGCCTCCAGCAATAGCCTCCGACGCCGGGTGTGGTTTTCCATTCCGTGGCCAGGACTTGCTGCTGGGACGGGATTCTTTGCCGTCGCCAGGTCATGGAAAAAATTCCCTGCATTTTTACTATGCTCAGCCTCCTCTTGTTCCCCCCTTCGAATTGGAAGACCCGATTTCTGAGGCTCCTTACCATGGAAGGTAGCGCGGTTGGAAATTTGCTTCTCTTTGCCCTTGCTACGTCGATGCATGGTATTGATCGTTTTGATTTTTGGCGAACGAGCAATGGTGATTCCTTTGGATGGATGACACCTTGGCAGCCCCTGTTTCTCCCTTGAGAGCATCAGCGCAGGCTCCCCATTCTTTCCACCATTACCGCGACTCGGCCCCTCTTCATCCAGCAGCTCTTGTCGCGTTTCCTCCTCGCGACGGACCGGCTGGGGGATATGTCGGGTTCCTTTTAGGTCATTGTTGACCCAAACAGTATTGGCCCGCCCATGGTAAGGGATGGTTATGTCATCCACATCATAAACTCTCGTCCCCAGCTTCTTAGTGATCATGTGAGGTCCGAAGCGTTCCTTGCGATTTGGAGGGTCGAAGGTACACTCTCTTTGGTAATGCCCCACCCTCCCGCAGTGGAAACAGAAAGAGGGAAGGTGCTCATACTTCAATCGCACCCAAAATCTCCCTGTTTCCTCACTAGAAGCTAGTAGTTGAGATCTCAAAGGGCGAGAGAAATCAATCACTGCTTTCACCTTTATGAAATATTTCCCAGTTTCCTGGCAAGAATAGACACCGGCTTCAAGCACCTGGCCGACTGTGGGCCCTGCTACTTTCATTCCGAATTTGGCGGTGCAGCAATCTTCTTTGACATCCCAGAGTTGCACCCGGAAGGGAGCAGTTGCGAGTTCGTCATACGTCTGTTTGGTCACAGCCGGTGTCCAAGATCGTAGATGGATGATCTTGTCATTCACCACCCATGGAGTTCTCTTTAGCACCCAAATTTTGGATTCTTCAGAGGGGAGAACGAACTCAAATAGGCCATGTTTAGCTGGGAGTACTTTAATCCTCCCTTTGCATTGCCAAGGGGAATTCACTGATTCCCGAAGCTCCACCGGCGTAACCCGCGCCGTAGTAAACACACGGCCAAGCAGAGTGTGGGAGCTGCGGACTTTGACAGATTGAACTTCCTCGAGGGAAAACTGCACTACCTGGTCCTCACTCACTTGAGCAGCCATCGTGTTCTGCAGAGAGAGGGGAGAGGTAAGACCATTAATTTCAAGGACCCGCGGAACCATCCCTTGGCCCAACGGGGCACACAGGGTACGGCTGGGATAATCCTCAGTAATCGCTAGATCCGATTTCAGAGTATTAGGAAGGAGATGGCTATTACCTGGGGGAAGGAATTTGCATGTCTTGTTGGATTGCTCACCAGAGAGCTTGCTACTTTCCACCAATATGCGCCGCTTAGAATATCTCAGGGAGATGGATGTGCAGCGGATATCGGGGTATAAGTAGGGAGAGGCAAGCAAGAGTCCTTTCCCAGATAGGTTTCCTCCATCCAATATTCTTTTCGTGTACGTAATTCGAGTTGAAGGATATGCGACGCGGCAATCCGAATCCTTATCCCCACTCGGGTATTGGCGATAATCCAGAAATTTGAATTTTGGATTCACTTTGTTGTTACATAGACGGGATTTTCGGGACGCAATCCCACCTGCCACCGCCGAGAAATCCGGCATCCGGATCCCCAGCAGATTCAACGGCTCGTCACGTTTGGGGAATTCCCAGCGACTCTGACAGCACCACCGTGCTTCTTCCCGCCGACCCGGGTTACCTAACATCTCCGACCACTCCTTGTGGTGGGAATTCAAAGGTAGAAAAGTCGGAGTTCTATTAGGGCGTATGTTTTTCTTTTCTAGCCCTGATAGGATGATTATTTCACTGGAAACCTTCATCTCACCATCGGTGGTCTGACGGGGTTCCTGCTCCCGGCGGCGCGATAGGACTAGGTCATTTTCCGAATCGTCCATTTCGTCCGACGATGGGAGCTTGAAACACCACGCTTGCAAGCGCAGGGTCCTCTGTTTCTTCTTGTTTAAGGAGTAGTTTATATCACACTCCAGATCCAATCGCACAAGCTTCCGTTTTTTTCCTTTGTGCAAATATCGACGGTTGACTCGCCGATTGGGAGAGACGACCTCAATCCCAGAATAGGATCGACACCGATGCGACTCTTGTTTGCAAGCAGGAGACTCTTGAGTTTTCCATCCCCTAGCTTGATTACGTAGACTAGCAGCCAAGATCTCCTTCACCGCTACCTTGAGCAGGCGACCGAGGAAGAGGCCGAAGCAAAGGAGAGAGGCGAGAGCATCTCGCCACATTTTTTTTTTTTTTAATCAAAAAGAAAATTTGTGTGAAATTCATGTGTACTAGTTAGTAGTTTGCAGGGATAATTATGTTATTTTCTTATTAGCCCTTAGGTTTTTTATGGTTATTAACCGTTGGGACTTATTTTCCCTCTTTCTCAATCATCTCCTCCTTAATATATAATAGAAACTCTGTAATGATTAATCAAAGCTTGTTACAAGAAGATTTTCTGTTTCTAGTATTTAGTATGTTCATATTTTTCTTTTCCGGGATCATGAGGGGACGACACATTTATTCAATGGAAAATAAGAGTTTCACCAACATTATTTACTACCAAAAACGCTAATGCAAATGTGGATCCTTAATTACATCCAAACCTCTCAAGTAAACTAAGACACCTTCTTATTGCTATCACTGCTACTATTACAGTCTTGTAAGTTAAAAGCCAGCAACGGCCAACTCAGTTCTAGTTTTGAAGTCGATCATGGTTCTCTCACATCTGCTTGATTCGGCGGTACTGTCCCACTATCTGGCAGATCTAGTAACATGGCAGTGTCCTGATTCACAGTAATAACAGCCGGATCAGGCTTCAAAGAACTTTCAGGAGTTTTAGAAGACTGCTCGGCGCATTTTAAGCCAGCTTCCAGATCGTTATATTGGGAGATGACTCGCTCGAGTTCGTCGTGGAGATTGAGGGCCTCAAACAACATAGCCTCATCATCAGTGGTGCTCTCAATAAGCCTTTGCACAACGGGCTGTGAATGTTTGCACTTTTCGAATAAGCTCGCTGTTAGCTCCTCCTGCGTCAATATTGGCACATTAATAGTTAAAACCACTCTCGAGTGAGTAATAATGACAACAACACAGTAAGTCATTTACCAGTGAATTAGAGTTGCAACTGGAAAATCGGAACAGTAGAAGGTTGTGAAACATATATGAGACACATTCAATAATAAAATAAAGCTCTGACCTGGATGGGTTTTGGCTCTGTTTCTGCATTTAAAATGCTAGAGAGAAGTTCGAGACTATTCCTAGTTGTTACAATAACTTCACCCTTTTCCTCAACTGATAGGCCGTGGTAGTTCTGTGGGAAGGTGGCACGCTCAAAACCAGGGGGCACTCCTGAATCAGGAACAGGATAGCTTCCATGAGCAGATAGAGGCTGGTGATCAAGAAACGACTCAAGGGAGTACTGCATCGGAGGTGCATTTCCATCAGCTAACATACTTCTTTCTTTCAAGCTCTGCCATGCCAAAACAGATACCATCCATCATGAAAACTTAGTTCCTGAGATAAGCATTAACACTGCATGTGAATAAGTAAACCACACATCAGGATGGACAGATTAATTGGTGCGTTTCCTGATCAAAATTTGGGATATCATGTGAGATAGTGGAACCTAACAATCCCTTGATCCTGCCCTCAAATTCTTAAATTAATCCCAAAAGATATGGTTCGACATACAAGGGATAACACAGAAAACGTGTAGAAAGGAGCAGTTGATTACAAGACATCAAACCAAAAAGAAGAAGAGAACAAGTTTGTCCTGCCAAAACCAGTAGCTTGAGGCCCCCAAATTTCAAAGGGCACGGTCAAAATGTTGCCTTAAAATATACATAAACCGCAAATTCATTCTCTATGCTATGATTCTCATACAACACATAGATAACTTCAAAATCTAGTATACTGCTACACATTCATATTGGGGGGAAAAATACAACATAAAAAATGAGGCCTTCCAAATTTCAAGTTTGGTTGGAGTCGTAGTAGGACAAATGTGCATAAACAATAAAACAATGCATATGACATTTGTTAATAAAATTAAAGCAACTAACTTCCTAGACATTGATGCAACCCAAGTCACCAATCAAGAGCATATAGAAAACAGGAACAGATTGTCAGCCAATTTCCCTTACTGTTGCAAACTGAGAGAGAGTATTACCATGTAAGTTTGTCGAAAAACAGGCAGATACTCAAGATCCTCAGATTCCCCCCAAGCTGCAATCAACTGGTGAGCACTATTCCGGCTCCCAGGATCAGACAGAGGATTGTCAATCAACTTCATCATCTCATCCAAGGCCTTCTCTGAAGCAACTGCAGAGAAAACTTTCTCGCAATTCATAGTACATGCCTCGAGCAGGTCAAGGCTCAACCTCTGGCTGACTTCACTCCTCCCAGAAAGCTTCCTTTTTATTGCCCTCACAACGTCTGCACTATTAAATTCGTCACTGTTTATCAGAGCACATATCCTCAGATTCAATCCCCAATTCGGCTCCGCCAGTATCTCGGATGTGGCCTCGTCGACCATCTTTGATTCCGGGGTCGGTGCCTGCAGAATTTCCTTCACCTTATCACCTACAACCCGACTCATCTGAGCCCCGCCAGTGCGCAACCGTTCTCCCCATTGAGCCAATTTGAGCTTATCCATTTTCCCTCGATCTACGCCCTACAAGAAAAAAAAAAGGGAACACTAATAAAAAGATGCCCTAATTGGAAATGAAGGAAGAAGCAAGCGTTACTGTGTCGGGGTTCCAAAATGAATGATAAAAAAAAAGCCTCCGCGAAAGCAATCAACAGGTAAATAACAAATCAGTCGAGAGAAGGTTTCTCACTTTCGGTAATGAAACCCTAATCTAACACATTCTCGACAGTCGTTCAAACTCGAGCCAAGTAAGATAGTGGCGGAATGAATATATGGAAACAGAGAAGCGAAAAGGCTGGATTGGGCAAGTGTAAGCATGAGATCCAAAATACGACGGACATAATCTTTCTTTCCCTTTTATTATCTCTTGAACTTTCTCGGCTACCAAACAAAAGCAAAACAATACAATTTGAAACATGGGGATGGGTTAAAAATTAAAATGATGGTGAAGATACCGGAAAGAGAAGCAAAACTGAGCTCGGCAGCTTGGGATGGAAACGCTAGTGCTGATTGGAGGGGGTGAAATCGTTTTTCCGTCACCGGAATCGATGTGCTCGTTTTGTGGAGTTTTGTGCCTGAAATCCGGTCAGTATGAGAGATAGATAAGCAGAGCTAGACATGAGAGAGAGAACAGAGCCGAAGGAGGAGGAGAGGAATAGTTAAAACTTAAAAGTCAGAGTTACGCGTGGCCGAGGTAGCAGCCACGTAGCAATTTTTTGTGGAGCCTGTGAGACTTTCCCAGGAAAGCAATACCGTCTCTTTTGCCCGGATAGAAACAAACATACTCGGGTTAATTATTATTATTAGTTAGTTAGAATTATTAAAGTGCAAGCAGCCAAAAAACGAAATTTACTGTTTCCTTACGACAAAATCGCTAATCGCACGTCCAATTGTTGACGACAAGTTTTGCATTACGAGTTTATTGATAAACCGGCGTGTGCATGTTTGGTGCACTCGGTTTCATTTTCAATTCCAATTCCCATTCTCCCGGCCCTTTTGCCCCTCCGTCGATCCCCTTTAGGCTAGCCAAGGTGAAGCTTTCGCCGGAGATCCCTCTTTTGCCCCTCCGTCGATTCCCACAGCGCTCTGTACCTCTTTCTGTTGCTCTCCCAATCTCAACCCCACGTTTATTCCCCTTTAAACCCAGTTCTACCCCTTCCTTCTCTACTCTCCACAAAATCAAAGTGCATGATAAAGACTTCATTTTGCATACATTTTCCCCAATTAGTCACCCATTGTTCTCCTTTGTCGTTTCCCATACCCGACGGAAGAACTCTGTATTTATGATTCACCTTCTAGCTCCATGAAAAATAGACCACAATCCACATCCCTTCCCCTGCATTCTACTCAATTGGTGCTGGGTTTTCTTTTGACCAATAACAATCCTTTCACCTTTCCCCCTCTCGCATTTTGATTTGTGCTTGCACCAAACAGTCAACTTGAAATCATAAATTGAATCACTACTTCAAGGTTTAGCTCTTTCCCCCTTCTATGGCCAGCTCTCTAGCTCTCACTCGGTTCAAAAACAAAACAAAGTGGGAGTAATCAGTTGATGCACGAATTTTGAATTGCATGTTGAAACCAACTACATGCAATCAGTTTTCTACCTCAGGCGGCCCTGATCATTATTTGATTCATAACTCTACCCGTGGAAGGGAGAAAGTAGCCCTCTAATTCCCTTTTTCTCTTCCTCGACGAGCTCATTATCTGAAGCATGCAATTCCCACCGCAAAATTTAGAGAAGGTCGGTTTGAGTTCAACTGTTGTTGGAGGAAGAGGATGATCAGTATTGCAGGTTCAGAGTAAGGCTATGAGGCATTAGCACTAGGGGAGTCGGATGTTTAACGCCTATGCATTTTCATCCGGGAATAAAATAAAAATAAACTATTGTGCATGAGTTACAAATGTTAGAATTTGAGTGGTATAGAATTAGGGTTTTCGGTTGGTTGGTTATCGGTTCAATTGGGTTTGGTTATTAATTTTTGTATTACTATATTAAATGACGTAGCATGCTGACTAGACTAACATAACGGTTTTTTTGGATGGAGATGGACAGAATTACTTTTTTGTTATTAGTCCAAACGTATGTTATTGAAACGTACAAAATTAAGGGTTTGTGACCATTTTGTACAAAGTGAATAGTTTTGTGACCATTTGTGATAATTAGCCTGGATTATTGACAATTTACTTTTGAAGCATAAGAATATGAAATGGTCATCATACTAGCTAGGTGAATGAATACTAATTCTATGAGCACTACACAAACCTCATATGTGCTTAGTTGAGTTTTGTGATTAGGAATTTTCATTAAATATCGACAAGATCAAACAATAAATTATTATTCTATTCATATTGAAGCTACTAGAAATGTTATCAAATAATAAATGAAAACCTTTGAAATAAAATTATTATATGGTCATGAGTAAAATAATCTATAAAGTATGAATCAATAATTATCTGGACAATACCATGCTCTATTAACATATATTTGAAAGTTTAATTTAAATTCATGTTTGTATAATTGTAAATCCAACTATTTATGGAAAACTTCGTCCAATTTCCAAACTCTAAGGAGATTGAGAGGTTAATTATGATCATAAGTACACGAGACTCAAGTTAATACATGATTATTCTCAAACCACTAAAGACGTTCATCTCGATTTAAGGATAATATTACTTTTCAATGTTAATGTATCGATTTATTATTTTTAGAACCCGTTGCAAAGCACAAGCCAATTTTCTAGTGTGTTATTAAAACGTGTTATGTTTAGTCACTAGAAAAAATTAATGTCATTGTCGATTACTCGAATTACTAAAACGGTTCATGTATAGTCACTCTTTGTAAGTCTCCATTAACATTGTCAGTCAATTGCTTAAGTGGCTAACATAAGTTTTGAATCACCATTTTTTAAACCCCACAACACCAAATCGACCCGCCACATCACTCAACCCGACATGTCGTCGTTTCCAACCTAATCCTTAAATCCAACCAACCTATGAACCGACTCCTTTATCCCTCTCTCTTTCCTCTTCACATGTCCCTCTCTCCTCTTCAACCCGTGCATCAAAATTCTCTCTTCTAATAATTATTCTCTCTCTCACCTCGCCAATTCCCGCACCAACCTGACAAACGTGGCCATTGTTGACCACTATTATTACACCCTTGCAGCAGTGGATCTAGGATATAGTAGAGCACAAGGCCGCATTTATTAAGAAAATTAGATACCGTAAAAAAATTTACAATAACAATAATTTTTTGTGCAATGTCAATTGTACACGAAAGTCTTTTAATTAGCGAATTCATTAGTAATGGAGTCTACATACATACCAATAACATACTCTCTTTTCAAATAAAATAGTTAAACAATCGGCGAGAAACTCATCGCTTATTTCGTTCCGCAAATCAGTTTTCACATGTTTCATTTTTGTAAAGGTTCTCTATGTAGTAGTCTGAAACGGGCAACGTCAAGACTAGACAAATCAATCGACTAATCAATTTGTATTATGTGTTCATCCCTATTTACACTATATGCTCTACTAATTTTTCAAGGGAACAAACCTCATATTTCTTTTAGTCTTTTAGGGTTCATTGTTTTTTTTAGACGAAAATCATTGGGGCTAGAATTTGTAGGCTAAATTTATAGTAGTGATTTAAATATGTTCATCGGAACTATTTTTCTCATTACACACAATTATATTGAAAATAACACTGGGCCAAATGTCTAAAATCGAAAAATTCATTAGGTATACTAGCTCTGGATCCAGAGGAGTGCTGGGCCGTGGCCCGGGTTGGCCACCCCCTAGATCCGTCGATGCACCCGTGCTTTGCTTTCATGCTCCACCATTCTCTCCCGAAGAAAAAAACCCATAATCTATCTTTCTCTCTCGCCCAAACTCTTCGGAACCCACCATCGACAACGATTTCCAAATTTGTTGCTGAATTTTTTTCGGCGATGGATGCCGACAACCGGCGGAAGAAAGCCAACCACGACGGAACCAACGCTTTGAAGCTCATCCTCTCGTTCAAGTGTCTCACTCTCGGCATAATATTGTTCCTCTTCACTCTCTTCTACTTTTATGGCTTAGATTGGTCTCCCTTCCAGCCAGTCCTCCGGGTCTCGAGTTTTACCCGAGTCCTTCCCGTCCTCCTCACCCAAGACTACTTCAGCAGCAAGTCGCTTCCTCTAGTCATCGAGAGCTGGGTTCTGATCTCCAACCACCTGCTGCTAGTACTGTCCAATTGCGTCCGCAGAGGGGAGAGAGAGACACATAATGAAGAGAGGGACAGGCAAAGAGAAGAGAGAGAGGAATAGATGGGTCGGTTCATAGGTTGGTTGGATTTAACGATTGGGTTGGGAAAGATGACATAGCGGATTGAGTGACATGGCGGGTCGGGTATAATGATGTGGAGGGTTAAAAAAGGGTGATTCCACACTTCTGTTAGTCACTTAAGCAATTGACTAACGGTGTTAACATAGACTAACAGAGAGTGACTAAACGTAGACCGTTTTACTAATTCGAGTGACCAATATTGATATTAATTTTTTCCAGTGACTACACATGACATGTTTTTACTAAACCCAATGACCAAACATGGCATTTACCCAAACATACTCTTATACAAAATTTAGTGAGAATTTATGATGGTTTAAGGCATTGGTATTTTTTTTTTGTCTTTACGATAACGTGAAATTGTACATTAACGTTATAGTACTTCATATTGTACCTATACTTTTTATGGTACAAAGTAAATTTGTATCTTTATGTTATGGTACAACTTAAACAACTTGAAGTTGTACCATAACATAAATGTCAAATTTACTTATGGTACAACTTCAATTTGTACCTTTAACGTTATGGTACAACTTCTATTTGCATTTTTAAAGTACCAATACTTTAATGCATAATACAAGTGCTCATATTTAGTAGGGTTAATAGCATAAATTGTCTCTTTACTATTTTTCTCGGGATGGGATACCATCACAACCTAACTTAGAGCCTTCCATTCCCCTTTTCTCAATGTAGCGGTCTGGATTCCGCAGGGGCAATTTTGGTACCAGCCACAGTAGATCCCACACCCCTATCTCATCACCCAACGTAAGTGGTGCTTCAAAAGGAAATACTTGTCCTGACAGATAAACAAGTGTCTTTCCTTTCTTCCCAACCCATTCGCCTCCCAAAGACAATCCTTCGTCCATACTCTCCATCGGTTCTAAACCCATTCCTGTTCATCTTTGATTAGATCCTTCATCGGAGATTCCCTTTCAGCATCGTCCCTCTTCTCCCTTGGCCAGAGCGAACATCTGGTGGTGAATCTTTGTGAGCATCAGAGCTTCGGTTATATGAAATTCCTTTGTGTTCCCTTCTTCTTTTCCTTCGATTTTCACTTCGTCTTCTCTTTTGTTTCCCACGCT